AGAATATAAACTAGGTATCTGGTCCTTTCTGACACTCGGTGTGCTGCACTCACTGTGACATGCCCCATTTCTCCAGAGTTTAAAGGCCCCATTTCTCTTCTTTGCCCTTGTAAGTTTCATCCCAAGGCCTTGGGGGCCGTTTAGTCCCACAGTTGTCTTTCATGTTTCTCTCAGAATGCTTAATGATTCCTCATTCCAAAACGTTTCTGGTGACCTGCATGATATGACAGAATTCCTGATGTGATCACAGTTATAATGCACCTTCCTGTAGCATAATTAGGACAAGAGGTGTTTCCTGAATTGAGCAGCTCTATCTTAGCACAGTTCTCTGCTCTCTTAATTCAGAGAGTCCCCTTGAACAGGAACTGCTGGGGCTGTCACTAGCTAGTGAGAGCCCTATCACTTTCTGGGTAAAAGTGGTCCCACACTGGCAAGGTAACCAACTTGCTTTATGCAGAAACGGATTGGACTGTACAAATGAACTATTCACAAAGAAGGGAGTGATGAGAGGCTGAGGAAACATTCAAAGTCATCCATGGAAGAAATTCTCAAACCCCAAAATGAGGCTTTCCCCCAGGTATTTTGACACTAATAATAGCCAGCATTTATTGAGTGGTGGTTCTGTCACTCTGTCACATTCCTTATTCCTAGTTCTTATTGCATGCCTGGGGAAACTGAGGCTCAGAGAGGCTCTCAGGGCCTCACAGTGGGAGTAGCAATGCCAGAATTCACAGTCAGACACCTTTGACTCCAGATTGTATGTTTTCTTCACCAGGTAGGCTGTTTTTAGAGAAGTCAGCAACTACTGGGCTCCCAAACCTAGACATGGCCTGCAGAGAGTATAAGCTCATGGGGAGAGTGATCAGCCTTTTAGGAGAGGCTGCCTCCACAGGAGGTGTGAAGAAATGGAGGAGGAAGACCAAAGTGAGGCTCGCATCAGGCTGTCCTCTGGCTCACAAGTGCATGGTATCCACACTGAGCATACATTAGTAGATGGGGACTAACAGGATGTGTGTCACAGCTGAAATCTTGCTTTCTTCATAGACCATACATCTAGAAGGCTTTTGTGCCATCAACAATTTTGAAGTGACTGGTCCACCTGGCAACAGTCCCCAGAGGCCTAGGATCATCACTCTGGACACCTGTCCACTTACTGTCTTTGATCTCCATTTAAGAGTGTGGAGTGTCAGACTCAGTCAGATCTTGATCTGAATCCTGGCTCTGCCTCATTAGCTGTATGACCCTGGGCAAGCTACTTAACTTCTTTGGGTCTCTGTTTCCTCACCTGTAGAATGGAGATAATCATCATAGCCCCAACCTCATGTTATAATAATCAATGGAGTTAATACCCGTAAAGCCCGTAGTAACCATGTCTGGCAGAACCCGGGCAACGGTGCAGACATGCCTCACTTCACTTAGCAGAGGAGTCCCTAAACATAGGACAGCTGGTTGAATTTAGCCCTTAAAATTGTTCAATAGAATCTTACAAGTTTTGGGGGAGGGTAGGGAGTGGTGGAGGCAGTGGTGCCGGAATCTAAAGTTGGCTCCTTTTCTAGCTTTGTCTCTAGATGGGGTTGATATCTGGGTATGAGAACCTAGGGATCCAGGATGGAAGGAAGGCCAGTGCTCCTCACCCCCACCCAGGCCAACAGGTGAACAGAGGCAGCAGCCAGAACATTCTCATCCAGAACTAGTAAACGGGGAGCCTACATCAGGCTTTACACCAGAGTAAATTCTCCTAACACCTGCTGTACCTCTCCTATCCCCAGGTGAGGCCTGAACTTTCACGCCAACCTTGGCATCACCTCAACTTCACTCCTGACCTAATTAGTGTGATGTCGACTTAGTTGCAATAATGGGTACTTACTATTTTGTATTTTATTTCCATCGTACCATTAGTTTTCCACAGGATTTCGGGGACTGGTGGTTTACACACTTGGCAATTCTCAAAGTCTGTAAGAGTCTTATTTCTTGTTAATTTTCTGCTGTTCGTAGATCCTACTTTGGGGCATACGGATCTCCCTAAAGTTTTCATTCTGTAAGTGGTGTTGTCACAAATAACTTTGTACATTGTTAAAGGTATTTTCGCTTTTTCACTCATTCTCTAGTAAGTATTTAGTGGGTTCCTACCATGTGCCAGGCACTGTGCCAACCATGAATAGGACAGTCCCTGCGATCTAAAAACTTACACTCTGACAGGAGAGACTGACAAAGCAGACAGCCACAGCACCGTGTGGTAAGCATTGTGCGGTGGTGATTGCAGAGGGTAATGGGACCACAGGGGGGCACTAACCAGCTCCGAGCTAACTGCGCTAAGTACATTCTGCCAGATTGCTCAGTAGAGTGAATTCTGAGCAAGATTTTACTTTTCATTTCTAGATGATCTGTTTGATTCCTTTTCAAATGTACCTGTTCTTTTTTCACAATGTCCTTTTCTTTTTATCTAATATTTTCTATTCTTTGTCTTTGCCTTCTTTTGAAAACTACATTTTCCCCCTTAAAGTTTCTTTCAGATTGCTCTATTATGTGAAGTTCCCAGGAGTATTAATCTTCCTGTTTTGTCCACTCACTCTCTTGATGGAATGTGTTTTTGAATGGTAACTGTGTGTGTGTGTGTGTGTGTGTGTGTGTGTGTGTGTGTGTGTGTGTGTGTGAGGGTTTTTTTTCCCCTGACTCTCAGTGTCCTTGTGAGCCTGGGTTTTGGAAATATAGCCATACTGCCGTTTTACATTTGCTTCTGTTCAGTTTCCCAGGGGTCTAACCACTTTAACTGACCTATTTTTTCTTTAATTTCTTTGCTTAGGGAAATTATACAATCACTTAAAAACAATTTACTGAACATTTACTATACGTATATCCCCATATTTTGGTACCGTGGATGATACAAAATAATGCAAGACAATACAATGTACCTGCCTTACATGGCACCACTGTCTGAAAGGATCAAATATACACATAAAGTAAGGTGACCATGCAAGGCAGAGTAAAAGGCCTAACAGTGGGCACACAGTCAAGTTCAGAAGGAAAAACTGCTGAAGAAAAATGGGGAGAAACCAGAGAAGTAAAAGGTTTATGTGAAGAAGTTTTAGAAGGAAGATGAGGTAACCCTACCTCCCATGCTAGAAACTTAACTTCTGGGTGGAGAATGTGTGGCCCTGTAATGCTAGATGAGGCTATGGATGAACTTGACTTTAAGTTCCCTGATGAGGAAGCTAAATCAGAATCCAGGCAAAAGTAAATCATTTAAAGTGCTCCTGGAGCAGGAGGTAGGGTTGATGAAAATTGTGTTTGAAAGAGAAAACATGGTAACTTGAAAGGAGGCTTTGCAGTGATTCGGACCAGAACAAATCTGGGTTAGAGAGGCCAAGCGTTGGGCAGAAAGGAAAGGAGGGAGGTGGATTGGCAGGATTTGGATGTGGAAGACTTATGGAGTATTTGTCAGGAGTGGCAAGGGGGGAAGTGGCTTTTTAGGGGGCAAATCAAAACAGGAAGGGAGTTGGGAAGGGTAGACTGCAGGAAACCCAGACTAAGTGGTCAGAAAGCAGATTTCTATTCTAAAGAACTTTCTCACAATGAACACAAGATAACTACAAGCAAAGGGACCAAGTCACCCATTGCTGTGTTCCTGCGACTCTAGGTTACTTGGATTCCTTTCCGTTTAAACGGAAACATTTACTGAGCACCTTCACAAGTAGCAGAGCACCATTCTGGGTGTTGTTGCACACTTACAAACAGAAACAGAGCTATAATACAGTGTTTATTATACTTACTTGCTATAATAAATATAATAAGTCCTCACTGAACAGTAGTGGATAGGTTCTGTGACTTTAAGTGAAACCTATAATGAAACCGGTTTTATCATAATCAACATAAACAGGAGGTAAGTTCCTATGCATTTCATCGTTATAACAAAAGAAAACGAAGTTGAACGAATATTAGAGGACATGCTGTACCCTCCTCCCCAGCTTCTTGTGAGGATCACACTGGCGTTAACACGCACAAAGCCCTTTAAAACGCGTCTGGAACAAAGTAAGTGCGATATAAGGGCCAGTTATAATTCATTTTTATTAACTAAAGATTAAAATATCGACATCTAGCAGGCACAGTGCCTGTGTGTGCTCACATCGAACAACTGATTAAAACTCCCTCGATCTAGTCAGACGGGTGCTACGCCAAGTACCTTATGAGAAAACACATTTTGTAAACGTGACCTCTTATGGATGTTCGCGAAGACTCAAGTGCAAAGGAGAGTGACCACATCGCTGAGCGGCGACTGGGTTCGCTTTGGTGTGGAAGCCAAAGGGTGGACACGGCTGGAGACCACAGAAGGGTCTGCCTGCAGCAAGAAGCGCCCTGCCTGGGATCTGGGCTGCAAAGGGGCGGGCACAAAACTGCAGAGAAAGATCCCGAAGCCTGGGAGGGGGCTTACAAACGCCGCAGACCACACTGGGGGCTTACGGCTTTCAGGGCCGCTGAGCCCCGCCCCTGCCGCTCTCTGGGCCTCCCGGGGGAACGCCCGGGCCCACAGCGACACTC